CAAGGAATGATTTTAATTGGAAATGTATTTTGATATTTAATATTAAAATATTCATATTATTGCCTGAAATTATAAACATTATTACTTGGGCATTACGATTTTATCACTTAAGCTATAGTAACATTTTTATTGCCGCATAGCTCAAAAAATTTTGTTCCATTAATTAGCATTTATGTTCGTTTTTCATCTGTTATTTATAATAAGCAATTGAAGAGTGAGCGTGCAAGTTTCCTAATTCATGACAAATAAAAAAGGCAAAATTTTTTTACTACAGCGTGATGCTATTCCATTTTGTTTTTCTGCTCCAAAATGATATATTTTGATGTAATATTTAAACCATGAAACTAAATATAAGAACTTTACAAGATTAAAAGTCTAGATGTTGAGAGCAGCTAGAGTCTAGCATTAGAATATATATTTCTGTAATCCGAACTTAAATGGTACCTAAGCCAAGAAATTGCACTTTCAACTTTCCAACAAAGGTAAAAGTACTATAAAAAGCTGTAAAATGCCTTAAAAAAAAGATACTTATTTGCAATTCTAAAGAACATGAAAACTTAGCGCTGACACATACTTTCGTCGTAATTGTAGTTGGAAACGCATGAGAGCTTTTTATTGCGAGAATCTACCCAGAAACCTGCTATTTACTTGTTCTTACTACATATTTTTCCAAGCTTTTTTCCTTCACTTGACCCGTATTACGTTTTTACGGTTAGAACTTTTACAGAAGAGCCCCGTTCTGTTATTCTTAAAAAAGCCCAAACATATTCTTTTATTACAGAAACAGTATTAAGCGCAACACTTTCGTTTGTACATAAAAAAATTCTAGTTCTATTATAAAATAATTTTTAGTAATCTACTGTAGTACAGAGCCTCTCAAACTATGGGGCGCGATAACACTAGGAGGAGGGGTGCGAGCATTTTGAAAAGTCGAGGACGAAAGCTTATTTTAAAAATCATTAATTTCTTGAAAGTAAACAAACAAAATACACTCTGACATAGTAAAAAAAATTTTAAAAAAATCATTTACACTGATATAATATACTTAAAATGTATCAGTACTACACAATGTATATCATAATTAATTTAACATTACTAAATTAAGGAATCCGAATACGTTCGGAACCGTGATTTTAAAAAAGCGCATAAATGGATAGTTTTCATGATATTTAGTGTCACTTAAATTGTAAAATATATATAAAATAGTTTTAAGAATAGTATTACAATAAAAAATTATTTAAGTACAATATTTTAACAAAAAATGAACATAGAATGACCCCTTTTCAAAATGTTCTCCTTTTGTGGAAAATGCTTCTATTATATATAATAATATTTTGCCTGTATATAGCTCAGACCTCTCTATAGAGGCTCAACTAGAATTTTTGAAATATATAACTTAGAAGTGGGTTTATCCATGTTTTACGACAACAGAGACGAGAAATTTTAAGAAAAAAACGCCGATAATTATTTCAATGGGTTGTAACTCTGAAAATAATGTGCATTTTTTAAAACTTATAGTTGAGTCTCTGTACAGAGGTCTGAGCTATATACAGGCAAAATCTTATTATAATAGAAGCATTTTTCACAAAAGGAGAACATTTTGAAAAAAGATTATTCTAAGTTAATTATTTGCCAAAATATTGTATTTAAATCATTTTTTGTGTCAAAATGTCCTTAAAACAATTTTATACATGTAGTCTAATCTAAGTGACACTAAATATTATGAAAATTATCCACTTATGCGCTTTTTTAAAATCACGGTTCCGAACGTAGTCGGATACCTTAAAATTATTTGAAGTGTACAGAATGAAAGCATTTTTCAGCTCCAAATTGATGTAAGGATTTAGGATCTAATGTGCACCTTTCATGTGAAAAACAAAAAGTAAACTGATTTGTTTTTATTATTTTTGTGTTTATTCAAAAAGTACACTAAATCTACAGCAAAAAAATGCTCAACATTCTAGACTTCACACTTTAATGTGTATAAATTATACCAAAAAAAATCCTATTAAAATAAACAAAGTCTGCCGTTTCTTAAAGAATTGGAAAAAGTATGTAAAAACATGGAGTTTTAAAAAGTCGCAAAGTATTATCACCTTCCTTCTTAAAAAAATCTCTCTCTGAGATGATTCACGAAATCCAAATGATAAGCGACTGACAACTTAAGTTACAAACATGCATATAGAATGTTATACTTGTCAAAATCCTTTTATAAAACTTTACCCTGACATTTCCTTGGGCAAACATTCGTAATCCAATATTCTGTAAGAGCTTCATGAATGATTAATGGCGCACAGAAGTATTAACAATTATTTCTCGCACCATCTAAAAGGTTCAATATTTATTTAGAAGTTTTCTGCATTGGCTTCCAATTTCGAATAAAATGAGAAAAATGATGCTCTGCAAAATTTCTCGCTGAAAGCTTACGCTCTCCGAAGAAATCCTGAAATGGGTGTTCAGTAACAACTGAAGGATACTTACAACTAAACACACTATTACATGGTACTAAATGAATAATTTTGTCGAATTCTTTCTCGACTGGAATTTCGTTAACTGGACAAATGTTTCGACTTTAAAAATGTTACAAATGAGTTTTCTGTATTTAAGATGTTCAGAAAAGTATGCATGGAATTATGCTTAAATTTCTAAAAATCTTTGGAATGGTTTCGATTTAAAATAGATCTGAAAATATTTATATTCTTGTAAAACCAGCATATGACGTTAGAAACGTCAATAAGCATTATTTTTATAAAAATTTCTCTTTTGAATCTACGAGAGGTGTATAAAATAAGGAAAAATTTAGAATCGTAAGTATATACTGGTTGATTAAAAATTAGTGTGACCAATTTTAAAAGCTTATAACTATTTATGATGAGCTTCTATCGTTTTACTACTAGTTTTATTTTAAAAAATTTCATTTAAATCACTAATATAACCATTTTTATTAGTGGGAGAAAATTATAGAACTGAAAGGAGATCTTCAAACTCGGAATGAAATTTTACACCTTTTGAAGGATGTTTGTTCGAATTTTGTAAAAAATAAAGCATTTAAAACCCAAAAAAGACATTTTTCTATTGTATTGCTATCTAAACTTCAAAAAGAAATAAGATCAGGCTCCCAATCAAAAGCGCTAGGGAAAAATGTGAACGAAAGGAAGTCCTTAATGAAAAAGAAAAAAAGAAGCTGAAAAGAATTATTGCTTTAGAAAATCCTTTGCCTCAAAAACCTATGGCAAAGAAACTACAGATATAGAAATCGCCAATTTATCGCCAGATAAAGAAAATTGGCTATAAAAAGGTATATCATCTGGATTATCATCAAATGTGTGTTAAGACCGCTGAAAAACGAAGAACGTTCTTGGCCTCTGTATTTAATGTTACGCAAAGGTAGATACAAAACATGGATAACTTCGAAGAAGCATTGTTTCATCTGTCATTCACAAGAGACGAAACGAAGATATGTTATATTTAATGCAGAAAACGTCGAAAAGACGCAGCTGTTTTGCAAAATGCAAGTTGGCCGTCAGGTGTTATAGTATGGATGGTAATGTCTTCTCAAGGTTTAACAAAACCATTGTTTGTAGAACCAAATATTAAAATTGATGCCAAATACTATCATAATAAAGTTTTGAAACATTTCATCAGAGAAAGTAAACGTCTTTATCCTCAAGGAAACTTTGTTTTTCACCAACATTGTGCACCAAATCATATTGCAAAATCAACTATAAAATGACTGAAATATAAAAAAATTAAATTTTCTTCTTCCTGATAAATGACTATCACTATCCCCTGTCGGTGTTCCTTGCAATTATTTTTATGGCAATACTTAAAAAGAACAATTAAATAGACGTAAAGTAAGAACATTTCAAAAAAGGGCTCCAAAAAGCAGTTTAAGAGGAAGTTGGAAA